ACAAACACACACACAAACAAACAGACAGACAGACAGACAGACGCGAAACTTTTTGATCATCACTGGAGTAATAGGCTTCGCTATCGCTCAGCCAACAAAATGAACCAGCGCAGTTTTTATATTGTATTGTTTGTGAAACAGTCTTAAAACTTGACTTTTTTCCATTGTTTTATTTTCTTAAATATATTCGGCAGACGGACGGACGGACACGGACAGACGGACGGACACGAGAGCGGTTGCATAAGCCCACTTTAATGCTTTTTTAAAAGCAGAAAGGCGGGCTAAAAAGAAGATACTGATGCAAACGTCCACTTCGTGGGACAAATGTCTTGGCCACGAAACAGGAAGCAAATTTGTCCATGAGGTGAAAACAAAATTGAAAATTGTCCTCTCTAACGAAATAACTTTGTTAGTCATTGGATGCGTGTAAATCCGTTCTCTCGTTATGGACAAAATTGTTCTTTCACATTTACACACTTAATCAGAAAGGACTTTTATTGTTCATAGGGAGACGCGGTTTTGTGCACATCTCAACCGGATGCAGATTTTGAATCCAGCAAGGGTCGAATTAGCATCCCTTTTGTGGACAATTATTTTTTTGTCCATCATTAAGATGCAAATTGCTCACTTGCTAGATTCCAATCTGCATCCGGTTGAGAGAGATGTGCACAAAAACGCGTCTTTCTATGGACAATAAAAGTCCTTTCAGATTAAGAGTGTAGAGTGTCATTCTCATAAATTTGTGTGTGACGGAGCTACACTTAATATTTTTCTTTTTGGACTTGTAGAAAGTTGAATATTTGTCAACACTACACTCTGAATCTGAAAGGATTTTTTTTGAAATGTTTGTTGTTTGCAGGTCGAAAAAGTGTGTAAGCTTGCTAACACCGAAAAAGAATTCGTTTGAAAGGCTTACAATACATAGCCTTACGTTTCACTCACTTTTCTGCCTCACATTTTGTTAATATTAACTTGTTAAACCGAATTAAAATTCGTCGGTGCTTTTTTCAGGTACGCCTTCCCTGTCGAAGCCCAGTTACTCCCATTTCATTTGTTCGCTCAGGACGCCGGTAACTGTACGGAAAACATCTACATCCGAAACATTATTGAGGTACGCGTATAGCCTTAACTATCAACTCTCATTTGCTTACCAAAGTGCTATCCGCTACTAACAGTGATTTTTGGGGAAACGTAAGACGGGGATCACAAATTAATTAAATATTGGATAAAGTGGTTCGTATACACTCTGAAGAAAGTTCCGGCAGAGAACAGATCGTGAAAGCAGATGATGCAAATTTAAAACCAGTGTCTTGTTCTACTTCGTATTGACATTAAGAAATGTTCAGTAGGTCTACAGGGTGAGTGATCAGCGCCGTCTTTTTAAAATGCTTATACTATACCGGATTCATGCGTGCGAACGGGTTGCACACTCGCACGGCGCCGTAAAGGCGCCCTAGCGAGCGACGGTAGGCAAGCCCGCCCGTACGCGTGAATCCGGTACAGTGTAAGCATTTAAAAAAGACGTCGCGGATCACCCACCCTGTACAGCTAATAATGATGAGGTTTCATAATTTGACCCCTGTTCAGTAGGCCATCTCACCGGAAAAAAAATTTCGAGGTACGCACGTCTAGTGATAGATTAGACCTAGCAGAGACCCTGTGCAAAGTTTGAGCCCTGTGCGATAACGTTTACCCGACCCGCATCGCGATTTTCCAAGCGGGCTCAAAATTGGCGCGCTGTGACCCGACACCTTGTCGGCTCTGCCGTGCTGACACGGTGGGGTCAGAGGTGACGTTTTGGGTCTGAAGTGTGACCCTATGGGTCCTACTTCACATCCGACATGGTGAATCCGAGCTAGCGACTAACCGGGCGTCTCCAGGGACCCAAACGTCGCGGGTCGCGCGGCTCGCTCCTGGCAGCCGAAATTGGCAAAAACAAACAAATTGTTTTTGCCAATTCGTAGGCCGTACCGTGCGCTATCCAAAACTATGTAGCATGCCAGGTAGCGGTGACGCGATCACTGGAAAAAGTTTTAAAAACAGGTATTTGCGCCTGTGGTGACGTCACATAGACTGCCCGCGCTACAAGCCTGTAGCGCATGGTAGCCTAGTACGCAGGCGTTTTTGACATTATTTAATTTTTCCAGTGAACGCGTCACCGCTACCTGGCACGCTACATAGTTTCGGATAGGGCACGGTACGGCCTACGTATTGGCAAAAACAATATGTTTGTTTTTGCCAATTTCGGCTGCCAGGAGCGAGCCGCGCGACCCGCGACGTTCGGGTCCCTGGAGACGCCCGGTTAGTCGCGAGCTCGGATTCACCATGTCGGATGTGAAGTAGGACCCATAGGGTCACACTTCAGAACCGAGACGTCTCCTCTGACCCCACCGTGTCAGCACGGCAGAGCCGACAAGGTGTCGGGTCACCGCGCGCCAATTTTGAGCCCGCTCGGAAAATCGCGATGCGGGTCGCGTAATCGTTATCGCACAGGGCCCAAACTTTGCACAGGGTCTCTACTAGGTCTAATCTATCATTAAATGTGCGTACCTCCGAAATCGCTGACTTCGAATACCAAAATGAGATGACCTACTGTTCAGTCTGGACTGTACTTCAGAATTAAGTCTGGCCCGTATTTTAATTTACGGTCCAGACTGTTAAATGAAAACCGTAAAAGGCCGTCATAGAGGACCAAAAACGCATTTGAAAAAAGGTTCGCAGTTTTCCGAAAAAAAAAAATAGTTGAAAAATTGAAAAAAAAATAGTTATTGTATAGAAGCAAGCTTTGGATAAGATATGGTTGATATAAAAGTAGTTTAATACTCAGCTGAAAATACTGCGTTGGTGTTTTGGCGCTATCCACCCCAAAAAGACGTAAAAATTTCGACCTGCGTTTTATTCGCGAAATATGTAGCCCTTGAGTAGCTGCATCAGGTGCTGCAATCCGTTTAGTGATATCTCAAACGGTGTCGCGTCGGGAGCGTTGAGAACAAGGCCCTCCGCCCCACCACCAAGTGACACCCTCGGGACGCCTTTCCGCCCGCGGCGCCGCGCGCGCCCGCCCTGCGGGAAAGCGACCTGTGCAGCGTCATAGTACGAGATAAGGGCTTTCCATCGCCGCTGGCCAATTTCATTTTGGGGGAGATTTTACAGAAAAAGTCTAGGTATACTTAGTGCAAGTAAAAGTCTGGTAAAATTACCATAGTCTGTAAAATTGCAGACACTTGTAAAACTAACTCCAAAAAATTTCTGTAAAAGTAACACGAAATATTTCTGTAAATATTTTTACGAATGTTTCCTGTAATTTTTACCCACATTATTCTGAGGTAATATATGCAAGAAGAAAATATTTTTGGTGACTGCTTTCTTGTTCCATATATTTCATGGTGAACCGCCGACCGGTTTCATCAGTGAAAGTGCTTGAACTTTTGAACTCTTGGTGGGATCAAACCCCCGACCTCGTGGTCGTAAGCCCAATGCCTTGACCATTGCGCTACGGCGCGCTCCGTGCATTTAGCCTGTCTGTACTCCATATCTTGCTTCCTACTATGCACGCGGTAGACCTACAATCTGTAATTTTACAGGAACAATTAATATTATCATAGTATTTTGGTAAAACTAACATGTTCTGTAAAATTACACTACAATTTCTGTACAAGATTACACGAATTATCGGTAAAATCACTAATATTTTTTACAGTGAAATAATACGATAAAACGACATTTAGGAGAAGCGGGACCCGTTATTTATCTTCTTTATTTGCTTCAAACGCTAAAGAGTGCCCAAAAGAATCTCGACGGTCCTACGTCCGTGACCACTTTACCTACGTACACACAAAAATTTAAGTTGGGATCTCGATGGGATGATGTAGAAAATTCACGAAAACTGTTTCGGTGCTCAGCAGCCTGTTTGAATCCGCGCGCCCATCAGCCGGCAGCCAATGACGAGCCGAGCCTGGCGACAGAACAGGCCTCAATCAGTTTTCGTGAATTTTCTATGTCATCCCATCGAGATTCTAACTTAATTTTTTGTGTGGGCGTACGTAATGTGCTCACGGATGTGGGACCGTCGAGATTTTTTTGGGCACTCTTTAGCGTTTGATGCAAATAAAGAAGATAAATAACGGGTCCCGCGTTTTCTAAATGTCCTTTTATCTCTTGTATTATTTGACATATATGAAATTGGACAGAGGCGATGGAAAGCCCTCACCTTGTACTATGACGCTGCACAGGTCGCTTTTCCGCAGGGCGGGCGCGCGCGGCGCCGCGGGCGGAAAGGCGTCCCGAGGGTGTCACTTGGTGGTGGGGCGGAGGGCCTTGTTCTCAACGCTCCCGACGCGACACGGTTTGAGATATCACTAAACGGATTGCAGCACCTGATGCAGCTACTCAAGGGCTACATATTTGGCGAATAAAACGCAGGTCGAAATTTTTACGTCTTTTTGGCGTGGATAGCGCCTTTTGGAATACGGAGTACTTGAAAATCCCAATAAGATTCGTAAATTTCGTTGTAATTGTAGGAATTACCGTGTTAGGTCAGAACAAAACGAATTCCGACATTACCTGAAGGGAACGATCAAATATTAGAGTCAAATTATTAGGGCCGAGACATCTTTCTATGGCACAAAACGTCCAAAACAAATCTAATTCTTCGTTCCTCATTGCGCAGGGGGAGATTTTTCGCGTGTTTTTCACTGAAAAGGTTAGGTTAGGATAAATAAATTTTTCAAATTTTTCCAGCCCCGCAGAAAAAAGCGGATTCCAATTTTCCCGACCGGGCGAACCCTAATTTGAAATTTCCACCCACTAGGTCTAGCATTCCAGTCCGACTAAAATTAGATTTTACAGTCCATGCTGTAACACATCAGAAATCAGATTGTAAATTTGAATACAGTCTGACCGTATTCTACTATACAGTGCAGCCTGTAACAGGCGGCAACGGTTCGGATTGGACTTTAAAACAGTCTGACCGTAAAATAAAATAAAGTCAGGACCGTATTAAAATTTATTGTCTGTCTTGTACGAATTACTGTAGGTCTTTTTTTAACAGTGGCTAGAGCCAGCGCAAGTTGGGCACTGACTGGCAATTGTTCGTGTGTAACGGTTTGTCATCAAGTGCGCCTCATAAAGGTCTCGACTATAGATTAGTACTAACTTTATTTCGTCGCACCGAACGCCAGACTTAAAAGCGAATTAAAACCGGGTATGCTATGGCTTGTGCTTGTGTTCCAATTCGGTTGGGAAGGTCTGCTCTGCGGCCGTTTGGTCAGCCTGGCGAGCATACTGCCCCGACCGTCCCGACCAAGAATTGGAACACAACTATTGAACCAGGCTATATATCATCCCAGCCAATCAGTCTGTATTGTATGATCATGTTTTTTTTTTCAGAGTTGGGATGGATCACCTGAGGCTTTGTGTGATACCGCCTCGTTGCTTCTTAGCAACTCCAGCTTCGCTGACATCCGTGAAAAGAAAGTAAGAAGTTTCAGCGGAGAGTGCACTTTCAAAATTGAAATTGAGAACTTTGAGCATATTCAAAAAGGCAAAATCTGAATACGCTGCTAAATTATAACTGTGGCTTAGAATGGGCTCATACTCAGATAACATTTCCAAGCAAGGCAGTGTCAGAGCCTTAATGTGATTTTTTTTTTTATGTTCGGTTTTGCCTTTACTTTACCTTAAATAAATGCTAAGAGAAAGTCTTTAATTTATCTGAGCCTCTTTTGTAAAATAATTCAGCTTTTCGTTTGTGGCGGCATGATAGCGAAGCGAAACCAATTTCTCAAGTGATCAAGTTTCGTGCACTTCTGTCTGTAACCATGTGAACTCGAGAATGCATCGAGCTAGGTACTCTAAATTTGCAGTAGTCACTTTACATTATAGAAAGCGAAATCTGTATTGATTTTGAACTGCATTGGTCAAAATGTGGCTGAACACAGGGAACATTTACCAAAACAAAACTCGGAAGGTATTTCAAATTTCTGGAAAAATATTTTGAGTTTGTAAGGGGTAACTCGTCAAAGATGATGTCGTTGAACAAAGTTTTTGTGCGTGTGTCAGCATCTCTCACCGTTTTAGCGCTAGAGGAAGTTTTTATCTCAAAAGTGATCAAAAACAAGTATATTTGTCAACAGTTTTTCTGTTTGCTATCTCTTACTGTTAGCCCTAAAACAAATGAATATTTTTTCTAACATTTGTTGGTCTCCGAAGGGGTAACTCGTCCAAATAAAATACTCCAGGTCAAAATCTCTCGGTTTGGTGCTATTCCCCACCGCTTAGGCGCCATAGGATATTTTTGAGCAAAAGAAGCGATAAAATTTAGTTAATTAAGAAGGTCTCAAAAATTAGGAATTGGTCAAGTGGCAACCCTTTGCCCTCAAGGGTTAGGATTTCGTCATGCCGTACACTGATAATCCAAGTGTGCAAACACAAGTTGAATACTTGCCAGTGTTTAACTGGGTAGTTGTGCACCTGTAACTGTGCAACTCCCCTGTTGAACCTGTTGGACCTAAATTGGACGTTTACCGATATTTTGCCCAAGATCAAAAGAAAATTCCAATGTTTACAGAACTGTAGAGCAGGAATACGGTGCGAAGTGTGTTTTATTTTACGGTTGGACTGTAAACTAGAGGTGTACCCCAGACCACGTCTCGCGTAAGAGGCTTCGCGATATCGCACGAAACAGTAGTGTTATGCTGCAGAGCACCTAGCTTGTTCTCGAGTTATCGGGATGACAGACAGACGCGAAGCTTTTTGATTATCACTGAAGTATTACTCGCTACGCGTCTGGTAAATCGGGTTCGAATTTTTTGCGTTGTACACAAGGGACCAAGACGCACCCCGTCTTTCACCCGCCAAACCTATTATTATTTCCCACAACTGACTTTTCTTCGTGTAGAACAACACAATGTCAAGGTATCTTTCTTCTTGTGTCATAGTGCACCGGAGAGAGTGACTCTTCCTCACCGTGGGTGTACATGCTTGGTGAACTGGGCGGTGAGCCTTCCGCAGCGTGGCTCCAATTTCTACCGCAAGGCATGAGTGGCCCATCCGGTCGCGCTGACCAGAGCGTGCCACCTGAGAAGACTTCGCTGCTCCGTGATCGCCGCTCAGATGGTGACCTGCAAGAGCTACAGAGCTGCATCTACGAACATCGTGATGTACGTGTGAAACCCGGCGAAACCCCTACCACTGTGGGAAAAACAGATGAAAAAAATATCTAAAGCATCAACCACAGTTTTACAGTGTTAATTGTATAACGGAGGCACCGTTAAGTTATGTGCTCTATCTGTGTCCTGCGGTGTGCGTTGCGGAAGTACAGTAACTGTTCAAATTCATGTTGTTACTGATGTAGATATTTCTTACAGTGTAGATGTATGTTTTACATAGAAATTTTCCCTTATGAAACGTGTAGTAAAATTGCAATTCAAAATTGAACAAGTACAAATAACAAGCACTATGAGTAGACTTCAATATCAACGACGACCAAGTTTGAGTCGAGGGGGAAATCACTCGGAAAGTAGGTGTGCATTCCGAGCTATATAGTGCACTTTAGTACGCCGTTAGTACGGCTTGTACGACGTGAGTAGAGTACGGTTTTTACGACGTTGGTACGGTTAGTACACTTATTAGTACGCCGTTAGTAGAAGTAAGCATGGAATAATGTCCCAGTTGGCCATTTTAGAGGATAAAGTCCAGAGACCTCTTACCAAACTTGACCCTTATTTTGGGTGTATCTCGGAGCAGGCCCCTCAAACTCACGGCTCCAGAGACATGGAATAGGATAGAGTTGACACGAGAGGGAAAAGCATTGTTCTCCGTGTAACCTTTACGACCGGGGCCCGGACCCCTGGCCGCGCCTGCGCGGGGGATGGCGGGGGAGAGCGGGGGAGGCCAGTACCGGGCCGAGCTCTGTTCGGGTCACTTCGGGCTCCTCTTCGGGGCGGGTCCGGCTGAGGTCCGGCTGAGGTCCGGCTGGTCCGGCGCGGTGCCGCTCCGCCACGCCACGCTGGACCGGGCGATGCAGGAGCCGAACGGTGCCCGAGCGGAGCCGAACAGAGCTCGGCCGGGTACCAGCCCCCGCTACACGCACCAGCGCGGCCTCGGGCCCGGGGTCGTAAAGGTTTCACCCCGAACAATACCGTGTCAAGTCTATCCTATTCCATGTCTCTGCACGGCTCTCGAGCCACCCGCGAGCAGGACCCGTGGCTCGCCGGAACGGGCGCGTGGCTCTCTGCTGCAAGCCACTATGGGACTGGGAGTACATTGGCGCCAGTCACCGAACAACTGGCTCCGCTCAACCTACGGTTTTCGGCTGGCTCCGCGGGTGTCACACGAGCGTGAAACCGAACTCAACGCGATTCTTTCAAAGGTACAGGCTATGCAATTTTAGCGGTTTGTTTCGAACGAAAAACGAGGCAGAACACTGCACCGCTGCGTGTGATTTGTAAGGGGGAGGTGTTACGGGTTTTCAAAAAGCTTTCGTATGAGACATTTCTAGGCCGGCCCGATCTTCAGTTGGCAAGAAAGGGGGAGGAGAACACTTTTGTCCTATTTACACGGAGAGCGACGCGAGTTCCGCACTGTTATGAGACATTTTGTTGCGTATAGGAAGTGGGAGGGCGTAGATTTTTCCCTCTGGCTGGCTTTTCCTAACGTAGGTGTGGGAGAGCGAGAGGGATCACAGACCGAACCGCGCCGGGTTGCCGGGTCTCCATAGTTCAGCGACAGCTCAGCGGGCTGAGGCGTCGCGATTGTTTGTAAGGCTAGAAAGGTTCTTACGAACAATCGGTTTGCATTACGAACTGTTTGTTTCCTAAGCTTACGAACAATAAGTTTGTAATGCAACGCTTCCAAATCCTTCACTGTGAAAAATATCCTCGTAAATTTACGACATTTATTGTAATTTTGATTTACAAAACATGTCGTTAATTCACGACAGCCCATTCTTGCTCGTCTGTCAGTTTAAAGTCGATAGGGAGTGCTTGTAAATTTAGAATTTCAAATTGTAGTTTTACAACTTTTAACGTGGAAAATTTTCTCGTAACCCTTACGAGTATTTTTCACAGTGTCGGTAAGCTACGGAGGTTTCGGTTTGCATTACGAACCTATCGTTCGTGAGCAATTTACAGTGCAGGGCCGATTTGATTCCATTCATTTAACAAGCCTAGTCTAGTCAAGCCCAGTACTTGCTTTAATCGCTTTCTTTTGTATCTGAACACAGGCAGCACTTGCCCCAAACCAGGGTGGTGAAATTATCCTCGTGATAGGAACGACCGGTGTCGGCAAATCTACTCTAGTGAGTTTTGTAACGGACAGTGACGACAGCCTGAACTCCGTGGAGAGTTCGACGGGAAACTTCCTCATTGAAGACAGCTCTCATAAAATTGGATCCGGGATCTCGTCTAAAACGTCAGTACCAGAGCTCATCACGGATAAAAGGTAGGTGCAATACGCCGTACAATCATTGTCATGACCCGCTGAGAGATGATTTCAACGACTGCTCCGGTTTTTGGCTGAGCGATTAGCGAAGCCTAATTGGCTGAGCGATAGCGAAGCCTATTACTCCAGTGATGATCAAAAAGTTTCGCGTCTGTCTGTTTGTTTGTCTGTCTGTCTGTCTGTCTGTCTGTCTGTTCGCACGATAACTCAAGAACGGTTTGAGGTAGAAGGCTCAAATTTTTATGGCAACTTTGTTTCATAAAAAGGAAGAACTGTATTGATTTTGAGCCCTCTGGCTCAAAAATTGACGTGTCAAAAAAATCAAAAACAAGGAGCCGAAAACATTTCTATTCAAAAACTTTTTTTTAACATCTTTCTTAGAAGGAACTCGTCAAAGTAGAACCCTTTGGGCCAAAATTTTGTCCGTTTTGCTCTATCTCTAACCGTTTAGGCTCCAGAGGACGTTCTTCACACGGAAATCACCCCATAACATTGTAATGGTTTTTTCTCCGGTGGGGTAACTCGTCAAAGTAAAACCCCAAAGCACAAAATTTTTGACTTTTAGGGCCAAAGGCCTATTAACGATCGTGCCTTTTGCCTAACTCCGGTGTCAGCGCCGCAGGCCTAGGTAGATGTATGCCAGGCGCGTCACAGCGTAACAGTGTTTCGTGAGATATCGCGAAGCCTGTTACGCGAGACGTGGTCTGGCGTACATCTACCTAGTACTCCAGTGATGATCAAAAAGTTTCGCGTCTGTCTGTCTGTCTGTACGCACGATAACTCGAAAACGGTTTGAGCTAGAAAACTCTAATTTTTATTGTAACTTTGTATCATAAGAAGGAGGAACTGTATTGATTTTGAGCCCTCTGGCTCAAAAATTAACGTGTCAAAAAAATCATAAACAAAAATCCTAAAACATTTCTTTAATAAAATATTTTTTTCTACATCTTTCTTAGAAGTACCTCGTCAAAGTAGAAACCCATGGGCCAAAATTGTGTCCGTTTTGCTCTATCTCTAACCGTTTGGGCGCCAGAAGGCGTTTTTCACACGGAAATGACCCCAAAACATTTAAATGTTAGCTCTCAGATATTTGATGGTGTCCGGTGGAGTAACTAACTAGGTAGATGTACGCCAGACCACGTCTCGCGTAACAGGCTTCGCGATATCTCACGAAACACTGTTACGCTGCGACGCGCCTGGCATACATCTACCTAGGCCTGCGGCGCTGACACCCGAGTCGGGCAAATGGCAAATCGTAGACAAGCCTTCGGCTTTAAAGGACACAAATTTTACCCCCAGGACTTTATTTTGGCGAGTTGCCCCATCATTGACCATCAAATATCTGAGAAACAACATTAATCTGATTTGGGGTCGTTTTCGTGTGGAAATCGCCCTCTGGCGACTAAACGGTTAAAGATAGAGCCAAATGGACAAAATTTTGGCCTGTAGG